AAATTTAACGTCATTTGAGCAAAATGTAAGAACAGTGAGTCAACAATAAAGAAAATGTGACAGTGACAACTTTCTTTTTTACACTTGCCCTCCTATACAAATTTTACAAATAATTATTTGTGAATTTTCATTTTGTCAGCATGTTTTCTACATGCTGAATAGTAAAACTAATATGTGCTTATTGTAAATTTGTGCAAATAACATGTGAACTTCTTCTCTCAGGCTCATCTACTAAGACATATGTGTTTGTAAGTGAAGCAAAGACGTGGTACGAGGCTCAGGCCTACTGCAGACAGCAATACACTGACCTGGCAAGCGCGTTCTCACAAAAAGAAAGGGATGATATTAAAAATGTGATACCAGGTGCGACCACAGCTTTTATTGGCTTGTACAGACCTACCTGGAAGTGGTGGTCTGATGGCACGGTCCACATATTTGAGCACTGGATAAAAGGACGCCCGCTGAGCAGAACTGGGAACTGTGCAGCCAGCTTGATAGACGCTGCCAACGTCGGAAAGTTGGTGGAGTACGACTGTGCAACAAGTTTTTCATTCATGTGCTATGGCCGTGAGTTTCTATTCAAATAACACATTTATCATTTTGATACGGCTGAGTATGAATTTAAATTTCATTTTGTCCACAGCCCCAMAGGAACCGCCTCAAATGAAAAAAATTAAGCGCATCAAGCTGACGGCGCTGAAATCCACAGCTGACCTGAACGACCCTGCGGTGATGAATGACATCCTGACTCAGGTAAGTGTGGGAAAARATTTTAATTTGAAAGGACAAGTAAAGGCTAGCAATTTAAAAACTGTAAGGCCCTGTCGACACTACTCAGGATTGCCTGAACAAATTCCTTCTCAATTTTTGTTGGTTTACCATCACTAAAAAATTATGGTAACTTTCAAGAAACTCATTTGAGAGCTTGTTGGAAAACAATTTTGGAACATTTTCTAAACAACTACAGATTTGTTGAGGTGTGGAAGAAGACCCGAGCTGTCACACACTCCAAAAAAGAAACTAGGAAGCTCGGAAACACCTTGGGAAACACAGAGACTTAAGCCTACCATGAACTGGAAACTCCTGGAACACCAGTGTCTCATCCAAAAGTCAAACCTGGACTGGGAGGCACACCTTCAACCTTGATGGACAAGCCTCCTGGAGAAAGGATTTATGGTCCGGATCAGACAAGGATTGATCTTTTTGGCCACAAAGCATGTGGTGGTGTCAACGTGAGGCTTTCAAACAATGTACCAACAGTCAAGCATTGTGTTGGTAGCACCATGCTACTGGTGCATAAAGTGGACATGATAATGAAAAAGTAAAACTACCTCTAAAACTTTCATCTTCCCCTCAAATGAAMAGCTGGGGTTTTGAAACCTGGCCACATTTTGTGTGTTCTAACAGGACAGTAGTCATGTTTCCATCCAATTTTAATGCAAAGTTTGAGAAAACCTTTAAAATGTAAAAAAAAAAAAAAGAAACAAAAAATATGTAAATCAGACATGTTTCCATCTTGGACCAAATCAACCAGGCTACACAAAGTGTAATTACGTCAGACGTTGATGTGACATATGGCTGTAAACAAGGACCACACATCTCCAGAAAATAAATAGAAGTTTTCAGGAATGTGTTGCTATTATCGGGCAAGTTAAAATTATTCTGTCATTTCAACTAGTATTGGCCTTGCTACATGCTGTCTTGAGATGTAGAAAAAGACATGCAATTATTCCAACTTGGGAATATCTGGGAAGACGCCAACAACGGGCACATCTGATCATCCATGTGAGGTAAATGTTGGCAATGTCACAACTTATTCCGCAAATGTGTTTCCATCTTCCCTTTTACGCATTAACTCTTTTTCAAAAAAACCCAAAAAACACCTCAAGCAAGCGTAAAAAAAATTATGTTTATTTGAATTTTGACAACTTCAAAATGTACATAAAAATCGTCAATGAAAACATGGCTAATAATCTCAAACAAATATTAAAAGTGTTTTCTGGGTGGTTAGGGCTGGTTGGGGTTGCTTCTGAAATGGCCTTACTGAAGCACCGGGGGGTGGGGGTTAGATAGGCAGGGTGAGCAGTTCCATTGGGAGGATGGCTGCCCTTACTTGGATTATGGTAGGGGAAACGCTGCCCTGTAGGGAAAC